ATTATTATTATTATTATTATTATTAAATGATTATGAATGTATGAAAATCATGTATGTGAACTGCAGATTAAGAAATGATTATGAAAAGGATCTTTGCAGAAGAAGTTAAAAACTAAAGATCGATCCATCTACAATTCGATTATCAGTATGTTGGATCCCAGATATCGTGAACTTTCCAAACATTATTTGGACTTTTTTAAAAAATACCGAACTTTTCCTGTCTACAGATTGTCCGAGAAAGCTTGCAGCTGAGAGGAAGATGTGAAGCGGGCTTTTTTAACTCCTATCGCCGCCGACTGAAAACAATGTGGACGGTATTGGCACCATATGAAGTTGTTTCCTCAAAGCTTAAAGAAAAATACCACAGGGCCTTGCAGGTGTCCTTCATAAACAACAGACTTCAGCAGTTGCGCCCACATTACCCAATCGATCAAAATCTTGTGTATCTCGACGACTCACCAAGCTACATCATGCGAAATGACAGCTTAGGCATTGATGGAATTCTGGGACGATCATGCAGGAGGGATATGAGCGATGATAAGTGTGAACTATTCACTGCTATCTGTGATTCTATTGGACTGAACCCAACAATAGTGGAGCATTACAAACAGGTTAAATGCAGGTGTAAGTTTACTTGGTGCTGCAGAGTTGAATGTGAAACATGCTCTGAGAAGTATAATGAAACAAGGTGTTCACTGTAAGCGGATGCTATACTGTATGTCATGAAGAAAGAGATTTCATGGTTAACTTCCTGTAATGTTAAGTGTATCTCAAGTGTATTATTGTATTGTATATCAAGTGTATTGAGTGTGTGCGTGTGTTTATTGACCTAAAAGTACAAAACATTATTTTGTGAAATAATTCTACCAAGTGTGTTGTGGGTGCTACAGGTTTGTTTGAAGCCCCATCCAGTGCACGTCAGATACACTTGAAGACAGCGTTTCATTCAAACCACGCGACGATAGTTTTTCATCCTCGCTGAAGATAACAGATGAGATGTTTTTCCTTCTGCAGTATAATCATCACCAGCGAAACAAAATATTGAATGAATAGATCTTTCAGCTGTTGGGCATGCGTGAGTGTTTACTACCAACTGCTGCAGGCAAAGTGTTTTAACGCTGCATGTAATAAACCACCACCTCAACACCTTTTTGAACCCATCTGTATTTCACAGCGAAGGGGCATTCATGGTTAAAAAAAAGGGTTTCTGAGCCATTCATCGGAGGTATCCCTCTCCAGGCGAAAGAACACCACCCTTCTCGTGCATTTGTTTCTTTCCTTTAAACCATTTGTCTGATTACTGGGAGCTTATTGATTACCTAAACAACTGTAGTCTTATTTACTTTATCCACCTCGAAATAACATGATATCTATTACAAATGAGGGAAACCATCAATAATTAGATTTGATGTTTACGCCCTTCACATCTGCTATTTTCCTGAAGAAATATCTTCAATTGCATCTTCGTTAATCTCCTTGGTTTCCCTTTAAGCAATCCCAGCAAATTTGTAAATAAGCGTTCTAACCAATTTTCGTTGAAGACTTTGTTGAAAATTATGTTTTATCATATGGAGATGAGCCTCATCGTTATCTCTCCTTTAATCCCGATAAGCACGGAATGTAGGTGGATCGATTTTTAAAATAACTTCATTCCTTATTGCAATGTTTTGTTGTTTTGATGTCCTGCCTAAGAAGGTAGTTTTTGCAGCATTGAGGAATAGAAATAAATAATTTCGTAAGGAATGAAATTACATGAAATGGCACAAATTTTGCTATCACCACACTATAAGAGAATATAAAAAAAACTTATTATCTCTCGCACACAAGGGACTTGCCACCTTTGATATTTGAGGGTCCCTATCCCCCCCTCACCCCCATTTCCTATTGTGCCCCCTACCCCACAGTGCTCTCAAAGGTCTTATGATATAAAAGTTTCCTGAGGAGGCTAAAGAGAGAGTGTTACAGTATCCGCAAAAAATACTAGTATGAAGACATGCTGGTTTCTTTCTGAAACAAAGAATATATAATCAAAATTATGAGATGAATAAATCCAATTTTTGTCTTCAGGACTAATAGAGCTCAAAGAGATTTGGAGATTTAAAAGAAGTGTGTTACGTTTTCCTATGTTTGTCTTTTATTCACAAAACAAAACAAAACACAACAGAATACAGGCAAATTAGTCCAAAGTCGTATAATAAACATGCTAAGATCGCCAAATCGATTGCAGTCACCGATGCATTAAATGTCCTAACGCTGCATGTAATAAAAATCTTTTTCAACCCATCTGTAATTTCACTTCCCTAAGTTAGTATGGCTTTCAATATTGACTGCATTCATTTTGGCCTCGACACAAGTAATATTAACAGGCTTTATCAATTATATATTATATCGGAATGAAGTGGGCAAGTTTAGCAAATATAAAACAAAGTCAGGAATGATTAAGCGCGGGTTGTGAGTTGCAGTCACTCGGACGTGGGGGGGGAGGGAAACTTTTTAGAAGCTAGGCTACGATTGTGTTTTTTCGGCATCGAAACTGCCTTTCTAGTGAAAAAAAACCTACTCAACATTATGCTTTTCATAGTCATACCGATTCAAGACACTGAACACAGAAACGATATCTAGAACTGTCCATTGGAGATGTTTAAAATGCTAACCTTCTCTGACGAGTCGACTTATCGCTATTGTAAGACCTACTTGACTTAAGCCCGGATATCTCATTATTTCGTTGAAAATCCAATTTTCCCCACTAGCTGCTACTGTAGAGGTATGATGCAGGAGAAAAACACCCTTTCAGTTCTATTTCCCGCAGCACCGTCGTAGTGGCGAACACCGTGAACTCAGCACAGGGATTTCACAGATTCAATTAATGTTATGCAAAGAGCAGTGGTAACCAAATATTTCCCCATTATTCTTCCTTACAGCCATTCGAGGGTCTGCTTTCATGTATACTATAACTACTTCCGCTAATACCCATGAATTCACTCTTCAGTGCACATTGCGAAGAATCCCCGGATGTGGATGTGGATGTGGAACTTACACCAGCAAAGTTAGCTTAAGTGGGTGTGGCGAAAACATCGCGTTCGGTCAAAGAGCGGCTATGCGTATGAAAAAAAATTACGATTGGATGCTTCGACGGTGGTTAATTTTCAAAACTACAATGTAGGAAGGAACAAAGGTAAGTTCCATGCATTAAAAAACTATTTTAAAACATCGTAGAGCATCTTTGAGTTAACGCTGAGTCTTACGAATATTTGAAGATGGGTGATACTTTGCTCATCTGTTCTGCTGACCAACGACCGCAAAACCCTTTTTTCTCTACCCGCAGTTGCATTACAGCAACAAGATCTAGGTAATATATGAGAGATGTACCTGTTGAAACAAGTTCTTTGCATTTTGTGCTAAATCTGGTTATCACGATGTGGGATCCCAGAGAGCGTGACCTTTCTAAATATCATTTGGACTTGAACATTCCTGTTAACAGATTGTCCAAGAAAGCTTAGAGCTGAAAGGAAGATTTGGCGGAGGATTTTCTTTTAACTCCAATACCTGCCAAGTAGAAAACATTGTGGACAATACTCAGGGCGCCATTTGAAGTTGTTTTCCTCAAGGCTAAAATAACAGGCTTTAGCAGTTGGACCCAGTTTTCCTACTCAAACAAAATCTTGTGTATGTCGACTACTCCCCCAGCTGCTTGATACGAAAAGACAGCGAAGGCTTCACTGGAATGCTGGGACGGTCATGCAGGAGGGATATGAGCGATGATAAATGTGAACTATTCACTGCCAAGTGGATGATTTCAAGCAGGTTAAATGCAGGTGTAAGTTTACTTGGTGCTGCAGATTCTAATCAGAGATATGCTCCGAGGAGTATAATTAAACAAGGTTTTCCCTGTAAGCGGCAGATTTACTGGATCTTATCACAGGGGGGTGGTGTGTTCGGAGGATTTTCGCGGGGGGGGTCACCGTGTTTTCAGGGGAACGGAGGGGGGTCATTCGTCATCAGCAGAGTATAAAGAGAGCTCTGAAGACAATCGACCGGTAATTAAATGCTAAAGAGGCGGGGACCGTAAGAATATTATAGAGCCTTATGGGGGGATCAGGTTGATTTGATCGTAACACAACCCCCCTTCCCCCAGGTGATGAATAATAAGTAGTCTCCTAAATCTTATAATGTCAAGTCTATGGAGTGTTTTCGGAATTTATTGGCGTAACAGTATACAAAACAAAATTGTAGACATATTTCACTAAGTCTGTGGCTTACAAGAAAGATTTCCCTCGATGATTCTCACATTCATGGCAAAAGCAAACGAGTGACATGCTTTTATAAGCTCATAAGCTCAAGATACACCAAGATATGATCCCGAAATACCCGAGAATCCCTCTGAAGAATGACGCCTCGCTACAAGAATGGTTATATTTGGAGATAGCAGCCCAAGGTTGGACCACAAGATAGAATGTTGTGAATTGACATTGAGATCATACTCCTGTTTTGAAATTTAAAAAAAGGCATCTGGGAATTCTTCTTTGTTGATGGCATGGCCCAAATGACAATTTGGGCGGAAAATGACCTCGTCATCCACTGATATAATCAAGTATAATCTTTCCGGCTTCTTTCGATGGATCAGCAAGCGATGGCTGCGTGCCCAACTTTTAAGCTGCTCCGCTTGAGCGCACTTGAGAAGTTAGGAAAGAGTTAATCGTTTCTAATTTTTGGGTGTGTCTAAACGCTACCTGTAAATGACCTTGGTGAAAACATAAGCCCGACCGAAATGAGAAATCTAACAACAGAACAGAACTTGAAGAATAAGTTGGAAAAGCCCCTCATTAATTGATTTATACAGATTGTTTATTTAAGTCCGGTTGAAAAGTACAAACAAACAAACAAACAAACAATCAACGACGAAAGTCTTCGAGACATAAAAAATCAAGTAAACTTGTTTGACGTCGGAGTAACAAGAGCTGCTTGGCAGGTGAACCCAATCCTGTTAAACCCTTTAAACCAATAACCGTCAAGAGTAGTGTTACAGATTTTAATGAATGATAACGATATAGTGTCAAGATCAGTCCCGTGTTTGCCATTTTTTAAAAACCCCGAGTACCGGTACGTTCGCTTTAATCAAGCTGAGGGTGATTCTGGTTCGTTTCCGTATGCGCAAGGTAAGAGAAATTGTCCAAAATCACTCTACTGACCTAAGCTGTACTTAAGTTGTTCATTAAAAAAGCAGTGGGAGAAATATCTCGAGAGATTCCGTTGCAAACAATCTACTGTGAAGAATACTTTAACTCATGAAAGATATTCAGAAGTGTTTTTACACGGAGGAGGTGAGTAATACTGCTAGTTCAAAGAAAACAACAGCTGATTTGCGGTGGGAAATTTCGTTTTGCAAAAGGTTTGTACATGTTATTCTGCACGTACGTCACGCAGTGTCACCTCTTGGTGTTCTTGGTGTCTATTCAAAGTTTTTCCTTTCGTCTTCCCCTTAAAACGTGGCAAAATTCACTTGAGGATTTTGTAGGACTTTAACAAGACCACCCCTGTGTTTAAATGTTTTGTCAAGCGTTTCACTGTGTGAAAGAGGGAGAACAAGAGAGAGAGAGAGAGAGTGAGAAAGAAGGTAAAGCAAAGCCAGAGTGAAATCCCGTCCGCCTTTCATCGCGGACCCGACTAGTATGTTAGAGATACGTGAATACATGTTATGCAGAAAGGTTTTGACCTGTGGTTTTGATAATAAGAAGTAATACCTTTTTCGATAGTTGTGAAATTTCTGGCTCCGCAAAATGCAGTAAAAAAAACTCATGACTCGTGCAAAAGGCAAGTAAGCTCACACTTAATTACTGCTACGTAAATTGTAACGTTGAATGACTGCTTGGTGTCATAAGCGATCTTTAATTTCTGGACTGTTTTTTTAGGCTATAATGATCTTTATAGCGTAATTTATTTATCTCTGCATGTGCTTAGCCGCAAATCCGGAAACTATAGCGAGGGGAGATGTTTCATACTTTTTCTTTTCTTTCTCTGTTCATCAACCAGTCCCCACTAAGAGCACCCACGTATAATTGATTATAAGAAGTACCCTCCTCTCCCTAGGGGGCGAAAAAGTGCCAAAACAAAACGCGCCGTCTGTGAAGAAACTAATTCTCTCAACAAAATGCTATGTAACAATGATTTAACCCTTGGTTGGCTCTCTCAGACGAGTTCAAACGCGTGCGGATAAAGTTGGCTTCGACCTTTAGACGTGACGCAAGTGAGCTAAAAGAATTAGACACGCGAATAGACTACTCTCTACTTCGTGAAAATGCCCACGTACCGCTGGGTTGCTCCTTCACGGGCCCGGAGTAGGGAGCTGATTTGGCAAGTGGAAGGTCGAATGCTCGTAGATAGAATCTATTTTTGCAATTGCAACGATCATTTCATTCACTGATTCCTTTTCAATAGTTTTCAAGGAAATATGCCACATTCAGATTGCGAAGTTGAACTTGAAATCATGTTAGATTTTTCACTGGCGCTATGCATGTAAAAAGACACCTTTCTTTCGCCCAATTCCAGATTAAAACAGACCCTCCGCGGTGATCAATTCTGTTTCGTGACAATTAGCAGCACTGAAATATTAATCCTTCATCTTTACAAAAGTCTATAGTCAACATGTAAGTCATAAGGGGACCAAGCTGAATTAAGAGAGACGGAAAATATACAGTACTTTTTCTTGTCATGAGGTAATCGGACAAAATCTCAGAAAAATGATTTTCTCTCACCAGGCACACTGACAAAAACATGTTTACTAGGACTGTAATGTATCTCTTCTTGCTTACTTCAATCATGACTTATAGACGTTAAGTTTCAGCCACGGTAATCCGTTCGCAGTAAAGTTCGTGAATGCCAATCTGCGTTGATCCTGCCGCCGTGCAGAGGAGAACATCACTCTCTAGATCACCGCAGCTTAGTTAAAAAAATAGTGGACAATTTCAAATTTATTCCATTTTCAAAGTAAATGGCATTTTCTAACAATATGTGAAATCACTCACGAATCACGTGCATACAACAAGATTAAAATAATTTGAGTATTTTTTATTTATTTCAGTTTAAGCCGGTTATTATTTGTCTAAAAATGTTAATGACTGACAGAAAGAAAACAGAAGTTGTACTAGTTATCACACAAGTGAGGTCATCAGTTGCAGTGAAAATTTAAGCCGTGTACTGAAGTATAAGACTCTTTTCCATTGTTGAATTACAAGATTTTTGGGTATAAAAAACTGTAACAAAAAAAAATTAATTAATAAACACGTTGCGTAACGATGAACAGTTCACTACTTATCTACCAAACTTACGGTACATATCTTGACTTAACACAGGAACGATACTTACGCTACTCAACATGTGTACAATAATTTCATTCCTAAAGTTACAACACTCAAACGAATTTTAATACCCTTAAAGTAAAGGACACTGTTCGATTAAGTATAGTGACCGTTTTTTAGGTACGCACGGATTATTGCCACCACAGAATATTCATTTCATCCCTTGCAAATTCCAACAATCCAAAGGCGCCAGACATGTTTACCACACCACAAGATATTAAAGTAAAAATGTTTCGTTCACACAGAGAAGAAAATAGACAAAGATATGTTAAAAAAAAAAGGAACTATGTTAAGTTGTCAATGAGTCATACTAAATCAGAAAAGTTTCATTTCCAAGGCCATCTCAGAAATCTTCGTTGCGGATTACTTGGAATCCTGATTGTTGACCATTTGCCATAAAGCAAGGAGATTTTTCTCCGAGTGTTTAATAGTGTTATTTGCCAAATTTAATCATATACCGGAAATCTTTCTAGTTTTAGACAACAGAAACTTTTTTCCACAAATCTGAAAGCACTCTTCAGATCAGGATATTCTCTATCTGTAGTGTTCACGTGCACAGAGCAACTGAAATCGGTCACGTTTTTTACTAATGCGGAAAGAAAATAGAATATCGCGCCGAGATTGGTTGAAATATGGATCCGGATTAGAGAAATCTTCCAACGCGGTAAACCAGATACACACGTAATTACTGATGAATAGTGACCTTGCAAGCTACTGAAAGATTTGCTGAAACTCTACCTAACACTTGGCGATTATTTAAATGCACTGGGATGCCCATTGCTAATGAGGCTCTCAAAAGAAATGCGGACAAAGTGAATTTTCCATCGAGGCTCAATTTTCAGAGCTGTGTCATCCAAATTTGGTCATTTCCGACATTCATACACAAAAGGGTCGAACGCGTTTAGCATATGTTCTATTCCATCTCGATCTTACACCACTAATAGCTTTCAAATTAATCCTTTACGCACTTTACGTTCGTTTGAGTGAAATCACTGCGATTTATTACGATGAAAAAGAACCAAATTAATCTGGCTTGTTATGCATCTATTTTAAGCAGGAAAATACGAGACGATCCTTAATGAAAGGTAGCACGTAAGTCTTTTCCAGAAGACAGATTCTAATGAGCATGCGTAATATGATCTCTTGCCCACCACGTCCATTGAAGAAATTCTCTCCTCTCAAGTGAGTGGGTATTTTCAAATTAATTGGTTTTGTGTGGACCTAAGGTTAAGTAATCTTCACAGTCCTTTCATACAGTCGATAATCCAAATACTTTGAACAATAGGTCTAACAGAAATATAAACCTCTCAATTATATTTCAGAGAGGCATATATTAAGCGTTAATGTTAGTGAGCCCTGATCGACCTGATCAGGTGAGAAAACTCTCTTGTTTTACAAATACGAGGCCAATATATCATTGACTATTCTGGTAGTCTCCGGAAACTACGTTGTGATTCAATAATGGATTAATTCTGTTTATCTCTTTAAAGCTTTGGTACGGGGAAACAACGAAGGCATTTATCCATGACCCCAAATCTTCAAGTGCTGCGCGAGTCTTATAAACAGGGATAATGGCTTCGAAACTGCTAGGTCTGTGTTCGGTGATTCTGGCTGCGATAGTGGTCAGCGCGGAGACTGAATACGGCTCACGGTAAGTTGACTTTAAAACGCACTTGTTCTTTTTTGTATGCTCTCTTGACTTAGTCTCTTTTAAGAAAGCTAGTAGCTTCTAATGGTTGCTGCAAGAGAGAACATTGTAAGCTGCGTATTACGCGCTAAACAAGTACGTGACCTTCGCCTCAGAACTCTTTTCTTGCAATTAGGTTTCCCTAAGCTAAGAACCATGGCACAAGTTTGTTAGCCTATCCAGGGCTTGCTGTGGATGAGATAAATTTGCTAACAGGCCTGCAATTTCTTCTGTTTTCTGAACTAAATCGACGATTTCATATGATGGGTAAATTCCTACTGGGAGTGATAGCTTGTCTACTAAATCAAAGAGGTTCAAGGGAAATTCCCTGCTTCTCATTTTTATTGGACAAAGAAACGTTTGGTTGGAAAACACAGGACCAATGAGCTATCTGTTTCGATAAATTTGCACAAGAGAAGACTCTTTTTTCTTAACTTTTTTCCCTCAGTGTTTTTGCCTAACACGTATTTGTTAAGCTCTATATCCTACATTATCCAGTCCTATAGAGTTACGGCTCAGCTAGTTTTGACGATAATTGTTGTCTTCTGTGTCAAGCTCACAGTTTGTTTTGTTATCTTTACTAAAAAAATTGCATTCATAACAAGAAACACCCGTCCACAAACAGGATTTAAAGTTGTAAATTAGATTTTAAAATCTGTTGACACGTACGTGTTTTTGGAAGCTGAATTGCTGAAATTTGTCCCATTCCACTTAATTTGGGCGCTCACTACCCGGTGCATCATTTCCGAAAGAAAATAACTTGTCATCTACGTGAGTACAAAAATAATCCTGGCGTTAATGACACACAGGGGGCGTGTAAATCATCATAAACACACTAAAACCATCGAGCACTGGCTCAGGATCCCAACACTTAAAAGCTAAACCAAATCCAATTACAAAGTTAAATTTTTGAACTGAAAAATTATTTTTATGCCTTCACTTGTTAGTCAGCCTCTTGAATCTAATGATGGTTATGTTGCAGCCTTTGATTAAACTCTGATTTATTTCTCTTTGTCTTTTTTATTCACAGATACAAAAACAGCATAGTAGAGTTGAATTTTCTTCAAGAAAAGGTGTGTGTTTTGCTTCAGGATTTTTTTACATTTTGGTAAATTTTTTCCCTCAAAATCTCTGATATTTTTTCTTTGGATATACTTCGTTCCCAAAATATGGGATATCTTTTAAGTTATATCAAATGGCCGGGTTTTATTGTAGATGTTTCTAGATTAGATTCAAGTTAATCCGATATTCTTTTTCATTAAGTTTTACTTATAGAGATAATTATCTTTCTTCATCATTACTTTTCTCCGACCTCTTCCATGGTCTTCATAGTGACTGCGCGATTTTCCCGACAGCGCAAGCAACCGTGATTTGATGAGGAGGCTGAATATATCCTAACTGACTGCTGGTCTAATCATGTGCTTGTCTAGTATAATCTTTCATAAAACTGATTAAACTTCAAACCCCCCAAAATGTATTCAAGCGGCTAAGTAAGCAACCGCCATATCATTTCTGTTTGTTACGCAACGAAAAACGTTTATATCATGTTGTTTCTCACGATCGGGATGTTTTTCTCCTTGTTATGTAAAACTGTCAAAATTCCCGTCGAATTATTCGATAAGGTCTTCAAATTAATATTCCCCGCCTTCGGAAATGAGGGTTAAGTACCTAGAAAAAAATTCTGAGTGTTGTGCCAGTGTATTCCATTGAAATGGTTTCAGCTGGTGTTACCTTTCACTATATGCTGCTCGTCTACCAGCTAAATTGACGAAACAAATCAAACGTGTTGCTTAGTCAATGGAAATCATTTGTTCGGGCAACTTTCCCTTCCGAGTTCAGCGCATCTTCAAGCCACATTAATGGGAGGTTAAAACATTAAGATCATCCGGGATTTCTTAAAGAGTTTTTTAATTCGGTTACTTTTATCTACGTCACATTTTATTGTTGGCCAGATTTAAGATATCACAGTGATAAAGTTCAGCCAACTTGTGAAGTCTAAGTTTTGACAGCTTTTTAAAGGTTTCTTGACACCTTGCTTGTTTTCATAGCCCCACAGGGAACCTAGGTCCATTTTCTTTACTTTTTTCTATTTATCAGTATTATTTGAACACGCATATGGTGCGCTTAAACGTACAGGGGTCCATAAGTATCTTAAGCTGCTAATCGAGATTAAACCCACCTCGGTTAAACCGTTAATGTTTCTTAACCGCTGATTTCAGTAAAGTGATAAAGGGTAACTGTACGGAAAAGATAATAGCTGTTTCAAAACCACATCAAAGTTAAAAGGGCCGACTAATTCAGCTTTGTATCAGTTAATACTATTTTACTAAATCGACCAAAATTAGATTTTAAGAGGCGTTAACAATGCAACCAAGACTTTTATCGTAACCAGGGTTGATGTTTTCGAGTTTACTAAGCTATTTTTAGAAAAGGAAGATGCAATCGCAACTATTTCACAATAGAACTTAACCATGAAGAAAAGAGAAGATAATTAAAAATTGGTTCATGCTTGATGTGTAACATGGACTGATCTAGTAACAGATGCACGCGGAAAATTAATGCACGAGAAAAGCGTGCTCAAGCTTGCATGCTGTTAGAACGATTCACCAGTCATTTTCGAAAGGTATCACTAATTCACTTAAATTTTTTAATTCTTTTTTAGACCTATCCAAATCTTACAAGCATCATTAAAGCAGGAGGATATCGTGCCATGGGAGAATGTCGAAAGTTATTCAAGAACGAGATTTGGAATTGTACCATTGATAACAGACACATGATTAAGGAGTTACCCAGTTTTGTTAAACCAACCGTTCCTTATGGTAAGTGTATTCCGTGACTTAAACCTTATCTTTTGAAGCCCTTTGAAAAATTACGTCAGAAAAGGCAGTTTTACCCCAAGCCACGCTATGAAGATGCTAAGTGGTGAATTTCGAGAAGGAAGTATTCATTCCAAAAAGTTTCATTTAACTCTCTAACTCCCAAGATCTGATAAGTAATACTCCTTACTATCTACCATACAATTCTTGTGATGTTAGCAGGGAGAATTTTATATTGGATCAACTTTTAATCCCGTAATTGATATTTTTCTTTATTCCCATCACTTGTCTGCCTGATATTGTATCGATATTGTAAGGAGAAACTCTGTCTTGGTCACTCATGGGAGTTATAAGGGTTAAAAAACATATATATATGCCCACGTGAAAACATCACTAGACAGGCCCTCACATTAGCGCTGCGGGACGCGTGTTCTCCGCCGGCAGGAAGATTAAGGACAAGGTTTGTCGGGGTCTGGCACTATCTGTGACAGACCCCCGCAAACCTCTCACCGGCCCGCACTGCTCAAGGCTTCATGCCTTCCCGCAGGCGAAGAAACTCTCCTATCGAAGCGCTGGTAATGAGGGTGTGAGAATGGTGTAGTGTAGTGTAAAAGAATAAACTAACTTGCAAATACCTCGTGGCTTTTTATCTCTAGGCACTGGGACATTTATTTCATGCCTCACCATTTGATAATACAGATTTACTTTCTGGAAAAACACAAGATTCATTCCCCGATATTCTATCCTTCAATAAGTACGTGCGCTATGATTGGTCCATTAAAGGGTTATATTTCACTGTACGGCTCGCTTAATTCAAAATTGTGTTTGAATTGTAATCTCCTTCCTCCATCTTAACCCAGAAATATAATAAATATCTTACTAACCTCGTTTACTCGGTCCCTACAGTAAGTTACAGGATATGTTTTTTTTCCGCTGGGATGTAAGGCCTAAGCGCGAATCTTGCGGGTCAAGTATTCGTGCGGAAAAATCGAGGTTAGTAAGGGGTATTCATTTTTGCCATTTTATTGTAGCTACACGGGAGATTGCATTCATCATCTCCATCAGTACAGCCGCTGTTATAAATGAGGTCGCCCAACAGTGCCAACGTAGCAGAATACCCGGATGTAGCTGCGATCTGAAGAAAGAAGATAATGGAAACGAAGACTTTCAATGGGGCGGTTGTGGTGACAACGTCAAGTTCGGAGAGAAGGAGGCAAGGCGTTTCATTAACGTCTTCATGAATGGAAACAATGCTCGGAAAGCTTTTCACTTCCACAACTCTGAAGTCGGAAGAAAGGTAACGTTACCTGCTTTGCTTATGTCAGGTTCATTAACCCTTTAACCCCTAAGAGTGACCAGCTTCAAATTTCTCCTTACCATATCACCACTGATTCACTCATTAAGTTACGAGAATAGGGAAAATGATCACCAACTAAAGCAGTTCTTGATGGTAAACAAATTCTCTTTGTCAGCACCTAAGGAAATGCAGGAAGAACAGTATGGAAAATGCGAATACTAATGTTTGGGTGTTAAGGGTTAAACCCGCTACACAGTGTCTTTTCTCAGAGCCTTGGTTGAGTTTCCTGCACGACTCTCATAAGCTAGACTGGGGATTTTGAAACCCTGACCCCTGATCATAAAATTTTTTCGCCGAAAAGCTCGTTATTTTATTACGAAACAGCGGTCCTTGCTTGAATTTTAGAGACCGGTCATTATTCATCGCTTAGGGAGGGATGGGAGGATTTCTCGCGTAAAATTTAGTGTGGAATTTCCTTGTCAGGTGTTGAACTATTTCATAGCAGCGTTAGCCCTTCCGCAAATAATTGTGTTTTCCATAATAACAACCTGTAATTCATTTAATTATCTTAATGATTCAAGTGTTGAAATGTTACTTTCCTTTGCAACATGAACCGATTTTTCCTTTGTTAGGTTGTTCGATTGAGTCGAAAGAAAGTGTGTAAATGCAACGGACTTTCAGGAAGTTGTACCGCAAAGATTTGTTGGAGGCAAATGGAGCCATTTGAGGTCATTGGGAAGAAGTTGAAATTAAAATACAAAAGTGCTTTGAGAGTGTGGTACGCGAATAATAAGCTTCACGAGCGAGGCAAAAACAAATTGACAGCGGAGAAGAGAGAGAAAAAACTTGTCTACCTCGACCCTTCGCCGGATTACTGCGTATTTAACAAAACGCTGGGCTCCCCTGGAATGTTGGGAAGAACATGTCGGAGTGATGAAGGCACCACCGTGAAAAAGTGTCGCTCTCTTTGTAACGCTTGCAAATTGAAACACCATACAGTCCAGGTGGTTAAGGAAGATAAATGCCGCTGCAGGTTTGTGTGGTGTTGCAACGTGGAATGCGATACTTGCACAAGCAAATATCATGCAACCACCTGTGTTGCGTAAGACGGAAATGTATTGTCTGTTATGTTAAACATCATGAAACGTTTCTCGACGTGACGAGATGCAAGGACTGAACAATGGCTGGAATTGAGAGAGTCACTTTGGGAAAAGGAAAAATAAATAAACGAAACTGCATATATTATTAAAAATACCTTGGATCTCATGCGTTCAAGTAGCAACTGCAAGAAAAGTAAAGGCCTAACCCGTATACATTACTTTAAGACTGCTACTCATATAAATATATCACTAATTTCCTCTTATATTGCTTTTCTTAACAGTACTAGTATTTTTGGTTAAAAATTGGGAGTTGAAACATTTCGGGATAATATTTGCTATGCGAAAAGTCGTGTTATATCTTCGCTCCATTCATTAGGCCTAGTTAGTCTTTAGAACCCATTTCCAGATGTCCCTTTCTGGGAAAAGTGACGTTATTAGTGATCGAGCTCTTCTACGTATCATGTAACACTTATTTCTAGGCTCCATAGCCTGTGAGCAGGTCCTCATCATCAGCACTTGGGAACGAGCCTTGAAGTGTGAGGCCTTGAGAAATGTGAGCCGGTGAAAGGACTGCAAGGGGGTCTGGCACTGATAATTGTTAGTGCCAGGCTCTAGAAAACCACTCCCCGACTCGTCTCAAATCTTCCCGCGGGCGGAGAGACGCGTGTTCTGTGGCGCCACTGATAATGATGGCCTACACGCAGACTAGAGGCTCCATATTGTTTCTAACAAGAACAATAGACACATGTACAGTTAGGAAAGAGGTATTAGAAAGTGTGAAGCATTGTTGGGCGTGATTGAGAAGAGATGGGTTTTTGGTGTTGCCAAGAATGAATATTTCAGAAACATCGCTGGTGGTGGGCGGAAAGAACAGAAGCATTTCATAAAACAATGAAATAGCCAGCGTTATTTGTATGAGAGGTCGCACCGAAGTGGGTGGGCTATGGCTATTTCATTCCCAACATTTCTTTTTGAAGTTTGAATCAACTCATCTGCTATTTTGGAGCGAACGCGAAATGTAGACGTTAATTTGAAAAAACAACAACCGTAGCAACAAAAGGCGGATGATGAAATAAAAAAGGTTTGCGGCTCAGCACAGTACGATGGCTCATCTGACATCTCCTAAAAGCTTATATTGTACTTAGTATACGTAATCGCATATTTGCTCGAAAAAATAAGGTTGCGAGTTTCAGAAGATGTGAAAATTGACAGAGTCACACCTTTAAGAACCAATAAAATTCAAATGAATTTGCCAAAACTTCATTAAAGATACCTTCTCTCTGAGCCAATCTGTATTTAGTTATTTTGCCGACTAGTAAAACGTGAACCAATAAAAAGCAGACTGTTAAAAGGCGGACCCATAAAAAGCAGACTAGTAAAGCGTGGAAAAATAGAAGTAGACCAGTAAAACGTGGACAAACAAAGGACGAATTAGCAAAACGTAGACTAAAAGAAGTAGACTTTTAGAATTTGCACCTTTTTAAACGCAAACAAGTAAAACGTGGACCAATAAAAAACAGACTAGTATAACGTGGACCAATAAAAAGCAGACTAGTAAAACGTGGACCAATAAAAAACAGACTAGTATAACGTGGACCAATAAAAAGCAGACTAGTAAAACGTGGACCAATAAAAAACAGACTAGTATAACGTGGACCAATAAAAAGCAGACTAGTAAAACGTGGACTAATGAAAAGCACCCTGGTAAAACGTATACCAAAAAAAGGGAGACTAGTAAAACGTGCACCAATAAAAACTTGCGTAGTTAAACGTGGACAAAAAATGAAGCTCACCAGTAAAACGTGGACTAATAAAAACCACACTAGTAAAACCTGGACCAATGAAATGCAGACTAGTAAAACGTAGACCAATGAAATGCAGATTAGTAAAAAATGGACTAATAAAAGGCAGATTAGTAAAAAAAAAGACTAATAAAAGGCAGACAAGTAAAACGTGGACTATTTGAAGGCAGACTAGTAAAAAATGGACTTATAAAATGTAGACTCGCACAACGTGGGCTAAATAAAGCAGACTGGTAAAAAAATGGACTAATAAATGGAAGACTAGTAAAACTTGGACTAATAAAAAGCAGAGTGGTAAAACATGCACTAAAAAAGACTAGTAAAACATGACCTGCAGAGGGATAAAATAAATTCATACATATGAGAAGAATGACAGCTTCAAAGCTAAAACATAAGAGTTAAGAAACTCTAACGGAAGCAGGTCTCAAAGGTAAAAGACGAAGGTACCTCTAAGTCATTCGTTCATGCCACTGCCCGACTTAAGAGAGTAAAATAGAAATGGTCGCTTTTTTATCTTTGATCCCCGAAAAGAGAACACCGGCTCGCGAAATCATAAAACAACTCTTTGTCAACAACCAGTTTCGGTCTTCTTTCTTATCAACATGATGGAAGATAATGGGATTGTCCAAAAGATTAGAGTCATCGTAACTTTTATTTTTCCTGTTTGGGTAAATTAACATAGCTTTTTCCAGACAGGAATTCAGCAATTGTCAACAATAACATGTTTGAAAGGATTTTCCCATTTGGCTATCAAACCCAAGAAAACTATAATGATAAATTATTAGTGCAAAGAAATCTTAGTTCTTGCCTTCAATATGCAATAGTTGCCGGAGTGAAAGAGGGTTTATGACTGAGTCGACGATTAAGAGGCCCAATTGAGCACAATGCGCTCCTAAGCAAAGTGCGAGAGAATTTTATAAAAGTATTAGGTTCTCTCCCACCAAACAATGTTGTGTACTCCAGCTACAAGGTTAGCTAGAAAAAAACGACTCCAAATTGTATCAAAGCTGTAAAGGGGGACGTAGACTCCGATAGCAAGGTGAGAAAAAGAACGAAGCATGTCCATATTTGTGCGTTTTATTCTACAATTTTTAAATGATTTTAAAGAAATATTTAAGGGTATGGATTACATTTAACCATTTTCTGCGTGGAAACATTCCCAATCTTTCGGAGACACCGGATTACACTCTTAGCGGTTGCTTTTGTCTCTTCGGCTGCTTACAGGCGAGATTTCCATTACCAGCTTCAGTGCATCATCAATTTCGCGTAGATCGCGATTTGAGATAACGACACACAGACAGCCTCTCCGATGGTCTCAGATATGAACTTCAAAAAGATCAAAGTGCTCTGTGAGCAAACTCGTGAATTGACACATGATTTTTGGGATTATGTTTAATGTTATCTGGTTTAGGGAATTTTGTGGTTGATTGTCATATCTAGAGTACGAGCAGTAGTTCAGTGTTCGCTAATGTAGCAAAGAAACAAAGTAACGTTGGGATAAGAAGGCATTACGATTGAAATGATCATGCTTTGACAAGGGTGGATGATGTCATGTGTTTTAAACGTATATCATTTCTGTTTCTGGTTCAAAAGAAAAGGTTGGAAGTAAATGTGGGTGAAAAGTGAAATTTACTGTCTATCATTGTAAATATTAGAAAATCAAGGCAATGCTGTCTTAATGAAAACATAAACGATTCCCTCTTTATCAAATGAGACAAACGGGAACGAGTTTTGAGTGATATAACTAAGCCAAGACTGCCAACGTCATTTTGGATCTCCGCCTGGGTTGATTTTAGTCACGTGCTAGGCAACGTATAATCAATAACAAGATATAATTTCATTTCAGGCCTATTTATCAATTTTGTGGTGTACAACTTTCGCGTTTTAGTACGTAATAGGTATTTTGAATCTTCAAATTGTCTTGAAACTTAAAAGAAAATTGTTCTTTAAAAATTCACTGAAAATCGGTAGCTAAAATTGTTTGTTTAGGTGTTATTTGATTTTCCTGTTAACTTGTAATTTCGTTAGTCGCCGGCATCTTTTGTTGCTTCACGCAGGAAAAACACACGATACGAAACGTGATGATCGATTTTGTCCTCAATCTCACGCCGTAACAGAAAGCTTTTGAACATCTGTAAACTCCGTGCGCTTCGCAGTAAGTGATATTTTCAATAAATCTTCGGATAGTTTTCAAGTTCAAGGATCGTAAATTACAATTTTATGAAAAACGAAGGTTGTTCTGTTATTTCAGTGTGAATCCTTGCATGCCTGCCAGTCGCTGGCGCCGCTTGTTGAAACTAAAACGAAAAAAAAAAACTCTTTTAAGATTATCATTGGCTTCTTTGTCACCCCACCACTATTCTTAGCAACAAAGGTCGCCATTTCGTTTGTTTATTGCGCGCCAAAAACTATCAAATGCACTCAAAAGCCTAAAATCGAAAAAAAGTTTACAGGAATCAACCAATCGAGCGAGCGAGCGAATGCTATACCCAACATCGTATCTACAACTCGCTCTTGCGCATGCGCGCAATTCACGAGTTAACAAAAAGGAGAATACCCGGTTCCCAGATTTTAAGAATCGTATTTATTTCAAAAGTTTTATACACCAAAACCTTTTAATTAACAAATCTAAAATTATTTCTAAAGGCTAGGATACGGTGGGCGGTAAAATTCACTGCTACATGACGCGCCGGTGACAAGTCATTAGCTTCGAGTATAAAGAGAATCTCGAGAATTCTCGGTATCAGAGTGGTCCCGGAATAAATTGCAAACATCACACCTGGTTTGAATTTAAGCCACGTCTGTAGCAACAAAAATAATGAGTCACAGAAATTGTTTAGGAAGCATTAGAAGCGGTTTTGTCCGACAAACTCGTCCAAAAAAACTATTCACCCTGTGTTTCCTTTCCTTCAAATGACCAACCCACATACCAGAGACCAAGTTGTGTTACCTAGTAGAAAAAGGCCATCTGATATGTCAAAAATAATTTTAAGATCTTTCCTCGTTGCCTACAAAACCTATTGCACGGATAATTCAAATTATCAGAGCATTGAGCTGAATTTCTTTCTTAGCGCTCCCAAATCCTGGTGTATGGAAAAGCGAAACAAAAAAATCACCTCCACACTTCAGTAAAAATAACACAGAGTCAACAGTTGCCTTCAAACAACTGACAAATTCAAGGCGTTGAGAACCGCAGGCAAGTCTTACAAGTCCATGATACTCGTTACTTCGTATTTTGCCTCAGCGAGCTTTTAACCTTGCAGGTTCTTGACAAACACCTTTTGAGTGACCAGCGCGATTTTGCAACGCTGAAAACCATACAACCTGCGGTTTTCCATTTCTGCGTAACAAATCGCAAATCCTCAAGTGGCTTGGCGAGGAACTCTCACGTTTTTTTCCTTACCAACGAAGCACCATTGACATCAGAAAGAGTATGCATGACTGCAACCTCGGTAAATTTGTTATTTCGCTGTCGTTTGGATCATTACAGACGCTTTTTATCTCACTCTTCTCTCAACACATATTAAGGTTTAAAGCTATACTCCTCTCTAGGAATAGCCAGGAATAAGTCTACTTGCAGGATAATGACTGATAATTTTTTACGCAAGCCCAAAGCCGGTTGAGTACTCCACTGCTTGGCTGAGTTTTGTTTTCATCATTTCTCTTGTTGAGTATCTCGGTAAGTCCAGCAAATTGAAGCACGTGTGTGCCACAGGAAGGTGATCTCCTTGTTCTCCTCCAGCTACGGGCTGAATTATGATCTGTTTTTAAAAAAGATATACAGAGAATACATCATTCAGGATGAGTGACTTTGTTTGAAACTCGTGAAATCTTATATATGGGTCAATTGATAACAATTATCTAAAGTGTTGTGATTGCTGAGCTAAATTCTAATAAATCAACAGATTTCGTTTAAGTATTTCAGCATATCACTCTATTAAGTTATTTTGTAATGGCCTTGAAAGTAATCAACTTCAGGATCACCAGAAAAGAAATAATGAAAATATTACGAGATTAGTTATACCTTCATGGATTTCATTCCCAAAATTGGTACTCTGTCACTTCCTGTTAGGAAAGCTGAAGGATAGAATTCAGACAAATGTAACACATATTTTGTTTTATTATATCTCTAAGTTAGCACGTGCTCTATGCTGCTTCATTTAGCGGGCCGTATTTCACTGTGTGGCCCGCTAAGTTCAAAAGTTTGCTTGAATAGGAATCGTCTCCCTCTATTTGAACCCAGAGTGAAATACAAAAATATGTTACGCGTTGTTCTTGCTCAGATTTATGGCCATACAAATCCGAGAGGAAAAACTCGGTCCGTTACCTACAGTACTGACCCGGAAAATGAGGTTGGTACGAGTTACATATTTCTTTACAATCTCAGCTTGGTGAAAAGTTGCTTTTGTGATGTGAAGAGATTGGAGCTCACAGGCAAATTCAAAACAATCCCCTGTATATGTGCTTCATTAATTCGGTCACCCTCTTCCTTACTTTCTTGTTACCATCTTTTTCAGAAAGGCTGCATTTATTGGTCAGTCTTGTAAAGGAATAAAAACCAATCTCATGACTCGTCCGCGATTTGATGGCTCAGTCTCGCTGATACAAAAACTCACCAAGGAACTTTTTCTTCATTTTGAACGGAAAGTCAAAGAAAACTCCCCAGAAGTTTCTGATAATAGGATGGCCCTTGAAGTACTCGCCTTTGTACATCGCTACCTGAAAAATGGAAATGAAATAAAGTTACATATTGTTTGATAGGGAATCCAGAAAAGGAGCTGAACACTGTGGGTAAGAACGCAACGACAGAAAATCCTATCCATTTAACTTAAACAACATTAGAGTAACGCGCGGAGCGAAGGGAACACGCCACTCGGCGAAACGCTATAACTGGAGTGGAGCGGTTGTTCGAATGCACAGCACCCAGGTGTTCTTTTAACTCTAAAAAAACTTCCCCGTGTCCTTTGAACTACTCTTCAGTCTCTTTTCCTTTTATCTTGTATGTTCTATTACCTTTTCGAGTTCCCTGAAGTCATAATCTTGACATCCTACCACCATCTGCATTAACTCCTCCGGATGAAAAAACTCCTATAACGATCAGAAAGATGTCCAAATAAGTGACAAAAGGCAAGCCTGACTTTCATGCTAAATTAAGGCATTGTCCACAACGAGCCATTGTAAATAAATAAATGCTGACAAGCGATATGTTATAATACATAGCTGAGATATTACGAGAACCCTAATTGGTCTGAAAGCTATCGTTTATCGCACAGGTAAACCCTTTAGGCTGGTTATTTACACAAGGTCTAACTCAAACCACGGTTTCACGCAATCAGTAGGCCTCAGGTATTCTCTAAAAAGGGTTAATTCAATTTAATAAACGACCTGCCACTGTTAGCTTCCGACCCTTTTGACACTGTTCACAAAAATAAATGTTCAGATGGAAGGTTGACCTTGATTGAGTATTGTTTAAGATGCGGTTTTGTTAAACAACGGCTAAACTTTGTTCAGACCTTTAAGTTTACTTCATAAAAGCAATAGAGCGCAATTTGTAATAACCCACCTGTGAGCCGGGAGAACACTCGCCTCCCACGCGTGATTTTTGATAACCGACAAAAAGTGCGGTCAATTACTTAATTATGGTATTAACAGAGCAGCACTTGCACCCACCATGACTTTTCCACCACACACCCGATGAAATCCTTGAGCAAAAGCCTCAAACTGTTTCTCGACTGACTTGTTCAAATAATAATCGATATACACATCCACATACTGCACTCTAGACACAGGAAAAAAAAACACCAAATGATGCGAAACGTGCTCAACAGAACAATACAAACGAAAAATTCCATACACAACACTATACAGCATATCTTACCGTAACAAGACAAGACAATTTGATCGACCGCAATTCATAACATTAAAGCAAACCACTACCCCATTTCAATAAAACTGCACGATACGACACGATGGGAAAATAGATTGAGTATCGAAAGAGAGGGATGGTCTTTTTCTTATGTCACATATACTTTGCAGTAACGCATAGTATATGTGACTTTACGCCTTACGAACGTTTTCATAATTTTGAGAAGTTTTCTATATTTTAAAAACGTTCTCGCGTTGAACTTTGCATTCAAATATTTCTCCATATCTCTTCTTACACTTTCACATCAGTAAGCTTATTCTCAAAACAGTTCTCTACATTTCCTAAGGTGCTGACAACGAGAATTTGTTTAACAACCAGGAGTATCTTTCATTGGTGATCATTTCCCCTACTTTCGTGACCTTAGTGTTTGCTTTAGGGGTCATACTGTAAAGAGAACTTAAATGCTATTTACTTTTAGGGATCAAAGGCTTAAAAATAAGGGGTTTTGGTCATCGCACCTGTTCTCGAGATTGACTGGAGTTTTTCCTCCATCTGGAATCAAATCTATATATTCTAATGCTCCGTACTTCTCACGTACAACCTGAGCAAAAATTAGAAAACAGCTCATTATAATTTACTTTCTGTTGTACAGGTGACTGGTCGAAAAACATAGTTTTAAGACAGATCTTTGAGTTATCATTACCCAATAAGAACTTACAGTGAAAAAAGCAATCTCCATGAAGCGCGGCAAAACGCCAATGAACAAGCTACGATCGTCTTTAGTTTGCAACTGATTGGTTGAAAGGATGGCGCGAGTTTTCTTGACCAATCACAGAGCAAAGCCAAAAAGTAAGCCAAAGTAATGGCGGATCACTTTCGACACAACTGAAAATTGTTTTAACTTTCAGGGTGAACCTTATTAATAAGTTAGGAGAATCAACACACAGGTGAGAGAGTATTCAGCACATAATAGCTGTAAAGACATTTAGGGAAATGGTACCAGTCACAAAAACTTGTAAAGAATGTGGTAGGAAAAATAACATATCCACATGCAACCCAAACTATATTAACTTGCCTGAAAATTGAGTCCAAACGTTTCCGCCAGGTCTCCTTCTGCTTGGTCATACTCCAACAAATACTCAAGGTTCCTGTCAATCAATCGTGAAAGTTCTTATCGTTACTGGAACACACTGTTGGCAAATTCAAATTCAAGTTTCCTTGCTTGAGGAGTAAAAGGGACAGGAGCTACACTGCAAATGATCCGTAGGTGATCAGGTGAGTTGTAGTACAAAGTGGCTAATTTACGTTTTCAACCCAGTTGTTAACACTAAATTACCTGTAGTACAAAACAGATGGGTTTAAACTGAACAATCGAAGACTATCCACAAAATCCCCCAAATAACTGACTCCCGCCTTATTTTGAGGCTACATGAAAAATTAAATTATGCGCATATTTCTGTTCACTGGCTATGGCTGTGAACGGTGGCTGAGTGTATACCTTTTAGCGATACCTTTACCCGTCGGCGTAAATCTCCTTAGTGCATTATTATAGAAAACTCCTTTAGTCTACAAGGAAATTTAATTACTTGGCAACTGCTGGTTTAAAACCTCTGAAGTCATCAAGATTAGGTTTCCTGATAGAAAAGAGGAAAAAAAAGTGACCGTCATTTTTTTCTTGTAATATCAACACACAATATAAGTATACAAAACTAAACTGTTTTGGAAAGGTTGTCGAGACAATAAATGCACCACAACTCAGAACGTAAACACAAAGACGTTTATGAAAGTCAAAAAAGACAACAAAACATATGTTTACCCTATAAAAATTTATGCAAAAGTTTTCATGAATACACTAGTAATTCTAAATAATATTCTTGGGGAGCTAAACTGAGCAGTGATAAAAGGCAGTGTTATTGAGGCATACCACATCCCCAATGGCCTTACACTCTGCTGTTAGAAGCATGTTTAGCAAGTCTTCGAAGTGTTTCTTCACGAAAGGATTAATAGCGATTTAAAAGGCGTTCAGGTTTAAGAAAAGTGAAAAGGAGTCTATCCGATGTAACGGTTGCATCAGGTAGACACAATTAGAATTTGAAATTTTCACCTTGATAGTTATCAGATAGTAATACTCTTGTGCAAAAAGTTTGAACAAAAGTCTGCAATAATTTTGCTGAAACTTTCTTAAGAGTATGGTAAAAAAATCACAGCCGAAAAAGATTAGATTTCACAAGTTAATCACTTTTGAGAGTAAGGGAGGGTTTAAATGACATTGACAAAACATAGTGCCTTCCATGAACCGAGCACAGCGTTATTCTAACCTGCCTAAAAGTTTCTTATACAAAACAGGAGGAAATCTGAGGTCAATGATAGTAGAGTTGTATATGGCCAATCCACAGATGACACCAATCAACAGGAACATTGGACTTTCTTCAAATGACTACAACAACAGAGGGAAGCAATCAGTAAACAATATCATTTGGAGAATCAGCAGTGTACCTTCTAGCAATGCCTTGATTTAAAGTCTTAGCAGCAATGCCACTGGAACAATACTTTGCCGTTAACACGAGTGACACAGAACGATATGCTAGTCACAAACTCTCTACTCTATCACTCTCCTCTGACTGTAAAAGAATAATTAATTAAGAATAATTAAGCGCCCCCCACCCACCCCCCCCCCCTTACCCCCTTAAAAGAAGAGTGACGTTATACGGGTCCGAAATCTGAATTCAAAGAAACATTGGATCACCAACATTCCTGAATAGTAGAGATCTTAAGTAAGACACATACCAGATCATTAAACCAAATGGTCTGAGACTCTTCAATGTAGGTAAACATTCCATATTTGGGGTCCAAGATCTCCGTCAAAAGCAGCAAGAAAAATTCCTAAAGAAATCAGAATTTGACTGTGAGACACAGAAACTACAAAAAACCGCTTTTTTCGCCTTTCAGTTATACCTCTGACCAAGAGTCCACTTATGAGGACCATTTTTGTACTAAATACTGGAAAATATCTTTGAATTCCGAGCACATCCACTTGCGAGAGCGTCCACCGTCCAAATCATGCGTTTGAGAACAATGTCTGTTCATAAAAGCGTTAGGACACCTTACCTTCCTTACACCACCAGCATCAACACCTTCTTCACCATGAAACACGACCTGCCAAAAAAAGGAGGAAATAGTGAGGCAGTCTCATCAGGCTTTTCCAAGTGTTCAGTTAGTAGAACGGAGCGAAAGTGTGAACAGGCGCGATATCAGTAGCTTTAGAGCGAAAATGAAGGTTTGGATCGAGTCACGTTCATTACGCGAACCGACCCAAATCTCTGTCGTTTTTCAAATCTTCTGGTATTATCAGGCCGTTTACAATAACGCTTCGTTTTACTAACTGAACGCTGGAAACAGGCTAAGGTATTCTTTATCGTGTTTTCATGACTTCCTTACGAGACCAGCCTTATCGGTTTTTATGATTCTCCCAGTTGTTTCAAAAGCCAGCTAAAGGCTTTAGTTTTACAGGTGGATACGAGGATCAAACGACATACTCATTAACTCACTTAATCAATCTATGCACACGAATGTAACTATAATTTTCAATTTTGAAATAAATTTTGTTGGACATATCAAGGAAAAATGACAAAACGCCATAGCCAAACGAAAACTCCCACAACCTACTAGGCGGGACTGAAAAGCATTGGAAATTCTTTTGGGTTTAAAGGCTTCATTCTCTAAAGTAACGCGATTAGCGTATAGCAATTATTTTGAACTGTGCAGGAACACTAAGTCGAGATCTAACCATCCATATAAGTAACAAACCAAACTCGCAAAATTGAATTGTTATAAAAATTCTTTCTTTGTCAGAATTATCAAACATTGGAACGATCTTCCTATTAATGTATTTAATTTTCGTGACTGCCCTAACGTTAGTAAGTTTAAATTAAGATTGAAGAATCATATGAATGTTTATTGAATGGCCATTTTATATTTATTTATGATACTTATCTGTTTTTCACTTGACTTTTTTATATTTTTAGTACTTGTTTTTGTATAGTGACCTTAAATAATTTTATATTTTTTTCTTTAGGAGACCCTTGATATAAGGCTAACCTCTGGGTTTCCTTTTTCTTAATAACTACGTTTTTGTATGTTATTCTGAAACAAAGTATTGTAAATTGTAACTACAAAGCTAAGCCCCAGGCTCCAGTTGTTCGAAAGGTGGATGAACGATAAGCAGCGGACACCGAAGGATGTTTGGCCAACCCTTCGAAATAGTGATAAATCTACTAAATAACTTTTTTTTCAGGCTTTAAACCAACAAAGTTAGTCGTAAAGTTCTGCAGCATACCTTAAGAGGTTTCTTCAAGTCATACGGACCACATTTCATGATCTGTGTCAGAGTGTCACTAACAATGCTGTCCCTTTTCACTACAATCACCAGTATTGGGTTAACTGGGTCAATAGGTAGTTGTGACATCATCATCCTCACATTCCGGCGATTTACTTCTTCCACAGCGCTCTACAATAATTGCAAAAAGGTGATAGCTGACTCTTTCATCAAAAAAAAAATTCTGGCTAATTTCACAGGAACAGTTTTCAAATGAGTGTCGAAAAACCAAAACCAAAGTAATCACAACGAGAACTCAAAGAAAAAACAAGCAATCCGCCTGAAGCGCGGAAAAACGCGAGTGACTAAGTTGGGATGAGCCTTGGTCTTACAATTGATTGGTAGAGGAGATGGCACCAGTTTTCTCGACCAACTTTCGATCTTGTCCTACCCAGCCTTAAATCATCTTTACAGCGACACGAGTTGCGTTTAAAAAGTTCCTTGATACACATTTGTCTGTTCCTCCAAGAAACAGTTAATTTCGTTTGCCCAAGAGTCTCAATGCTTCACGAAATGGAGTCTACCTTCGGCCATAGCCACGTTTTGATGAAGTGCTTTTCCTGTACACTCGTCATGTCCGGATAAAAAATGCCTTCCTCCAAAATATATCCGTGGCGGATGCAACTAAATTTATCAGTTATAGCCAAAGGGATGCTCTTGGGAAAGGATGTAAGGGACACAATCCTATTGGAGGCCATGTGGCTTTAAATCTGCAGGTTCCGGGTCCCAGCCCCAAGCCTTGCTACCCTCTGGGTTTGTTCTCGGTTGCCCCAGGTTCAACTCCTTGGGTGCGCTTTGTATATGGCCAACTGATCTGCCTCCTCTCATTTGGGATTTTTAAACACTATGTTTATTCATTCATTCGTTCGTTTATTCATTTGATCATTCATTTATATTGGACCTTAAAAGCCCCATTGGGGGAGTAACAAATAAGTATCCATACAAATACACAATCACACTGGAATGGAATTGGACAGGATGGGATGAAATGGAAATAAAACGTTCCTGATCCCTTGAAAATATCCTGAATTCACGTGAGAGATCAAGTCTGGATGAAAGGCACGTTTATTGTATTATAAAGTCTAAACTTCTTATAGTTAGTTTTTTGACATACCTGCATCTGCATAACAGCATCTGTTTGAAGCAGCGTGGTCTTAGCTTCCGCATCAAAAACAAATGGATACCGACAGAAGGAAAAGGTTTGCTTAAAAAGAAACAGTGATAGAGAATCAGTCATTCCTACCTACATACTATTAATTCAAACTTTCAAATGACACTCGTTCTCTTATAGCAAGATCGTTATCTTGATTGAGAGAGGAAAATTTACAATTAAAATAGGCGTACTGAACCTAAAGCTACCAGGTGGCACGACGTTAAAAGAAAATTAGCTTCAGGAAAACATTTAATTGTTAACTGCACCATCAAAAAAAATATTTGAAGTCATGTCGCTGATTAAGTTTTTAACATTCCAGAGGGTAACGAACCCTGTGGAATATCATCTATAAATGTGTTAAAACTTTAGCTACAGACGCCGCCATCTTAGCTACGTTCGTCCTTACTTGTGGAGTACAGTCTCACTGCTCATAGTCAAATGGTCACCAGCCTCTCGAAAATCATCTTCGAATGCGTTAAACGTCCGCCGTAGATATCGCTATTTTGAACACAACGCCGTTACTTGGCCGCACGCCCAAAGACACAAAACGAGGCCTACAACCCGCTATTTCTCAGATCAACATTGAGTTAAGAGTCTCTTTTGCGTAGTTCCTAATAATTAAAAGGGGGCATCTCTTTGAATAATTAGGAACCACACAAAAGGGACTCTTAACTCAAATGTTCATTTAAGCTGTTGCGGTTTGTAAGCCTCGCTTTGTGTTTTTGGCCGTGCGGCCAAGTTAAGGCGTTGTGTTCAAAATAGCGACGTCCACGACGAACTTGCATCTCATTCGAAGATGATTTTCGAAAGGTCGGTCACCATTTGGAACATCAGAACGCGGTAAATAGCAGATTTTAATACAACCTTTTAAGGAAAGAGACAGAAATCATATGGTTTCTGGGGCACACTTCTCCCCTTTAAAGCGTTAAGCAAACTTGGATTTTAAGCTTTGGAAAATCAAGGCCTACCCCATGATTAAGGTGGCGCCAAAATTCTTGACGGTTAGTCACAATCTAAACAAAAGTAAAAGGAGGTGAAGCATGTTGTTTCATTTTTAGTGTGTGTGTGTGTGTGTCTGTGTGTGTGTTGAGCAATGAGAGCTGCATGTGCTAGTTTATCCAGTAAAGATGGGATCAAATATTTCTCTTGCACTTTGCCCAAAACAATTGGAAAAAAGTGAAGATTATGAAAGATACTACACAGATGTTTTAGCGTTATGTAGAGTGAGTGGACTTTTATGGAATAATTCTTGGAATATGAAGGGCCTCCGGTTGTTAGCGATATCGCTAGAGTGTTTATAGTGACTGCCATTAAAACTAATTAATCACAGCGAAGCATTGAGCAATTTTCAATTAATTATCGAAAATAATCCGCGATTGCTACAGTTTTGCTATACTTGTTCTATTATTGGTCTAGAAAGCTTATGCCACCCAGTCAACCAATCAGATGATTAATTACCACCAATCACGACTTAGTCGCCCGCGTTTTCCCGCACTTTAGGTGACTTGCTTGTTTTGCTGTGTGTTCTAATTAGCTCTTCAGGGTATTTGCTTCCTTTCTGTTTGCCCATGGCGATCACTTTTTTTATTTTTACGACACTCAATCGAAAAACACTCTAACGCTTCATAACCAGTCGATCTTATCGTCTGAAGAAGTCAAGAATAATGCAGTCAAAACGTCACAATCAAAATCAGAGGCATTTGCACGATTTTATCACAATAGATTATCATCTGATAAACCCCTTTTTCACAAAAAAGGTATATTTTCAAGTCTTACCTGATTTTGAATCCAGTTGAAGAAGTCAGCTCTAATGTCAATTGTTGCCTGTATCTCAGGAATATAAAACTGTTTAAATGGTACAATGTCACCAGATTCTGTATTAACCTAGAGATCAAGTAGCAAAAAAAGCAATCAGAAATATCATTTCCTTCACTCACTCCATTATAAGCTTTTGAGACTTTATTTCCAAAATTAAATCTGAATGCCTTAACTACTGGACCAGTGATACTATGCAGCCGAAATTTTCAGCGTTATGCGAAAAAAAAACCATGAAATTCAGCTGCCTCCAGAGCCTTAACCCTTGTCGTGATGAAACAAACCTCTCCCTTCTCTACATTGAGCTCTCTACTACCAAAGTTTTGCGTTGTCGTTCCTGAGAACAGGAAAATGATTCAATCACTGTGATGAGGGAATTAACATAAAGAGCCCCTGAAATAAAAATCATCTCTAAGCTATGGCACATGAGGGACAATATTCAATTTTTTCCTACAATGTAAAGACAAAAAAGTATATAGTTAACTCACCGTGTTAAGCTGTTCTAAAACATTTAAACATGTAGCCAAAGCTGCTTGACGTCTAACGGCCTGAAAACAATTCACCGTCAAGATGATGACACTTTTGTTTGTGTTATGAATTCTGATAGTCGCAGCTTCTTCATACACATATATATGACTTTCTATACACTTGAAACTGACCAACGATGTCTAAATATTGCTGGTGCCCAATACTCAGAGCTCTCAGCTCTTTAAATCGAAAGGGATTTATATGCATTTTCGTTCGCATAATTTTTCAACAAAAATATTTCGCTTTCCACGCCAAAAGTGACATCACGACACTGCTGCCTCAATTCAACAGAGGTGAAGAGAGTTCTAAAATTGATGAAATTTGACTGGTTGTTTTATTGCTTGTAATACTAAACGGTTTTTCACTCCAGCAGCACTAAGCTTTTTTTCTCTCCCCCTCTTACACCCAACAGAATTTCAGATTTCTCAGGGAGACTCGGAATTTTTTCTTTGTTCCACGCTCGTGACAAGACGAAAAACATCTTTCCCAGCAAGTTACTTATAAGAACAAGTCTACATATAGTTTGTAGCCGTGTAGTATTTCAGTGCTGTCACTCTATGCTTAAGAACAATTACCTGTCAAAAGGCAAATAGTTTAACTTACCTCTTCAGTTATAAACTTTGGAGGAGGAAAGTGTAATAAGTACTTTACACAATCTTGAAACATCTACACAACAGCAAAATGTGACTGTTAGCATCACAAAACAAAAAAATACATTGACAAGGAGAGAAGTTTTCAAAATTAAATGACCAATACCAGCTGGTCTCTACAAGCATTCAGAAACAAAGGAAAAAAAACATTAATAAAGGAGTGAGTTTAATGACTAAAGTGATACTGTGCCGACTAATCATCCAAAATGGAGTTAAAAAGACAGACCTTCATTGTACGAGAGAAAAAGGTGGATGGTAAAGAAGACCACCATCTCACTGAAAAAATCAAAGAAAACAAATTAATGGCAAAACATGTTAAGCATATTTCAGAGTAGAGGTAAGACTGTAACTTGACATAGTCCTTCATAACAACCAGACTAAATCAACAGATTCCACTTGTTCTACACATTATGTAGAACAAGCACCTAAGGTCAGTAAACCAGATAGAGACAATAACCTGTATCCATTCCAACAACAATTGTTCTCACTAGTTTAATTCTGAATTTTCTTTGTTTCCAATCTACCTCTTTAATCACGGACAAAAAAGCAATCAAATTTAAATTGGCTCCAAAAAAGACTGAAGTTAGAACCATGACATACAGTTACATAGGTTTACCCACTGACATGATTTTCAAACATTTTCATGTCTGGCAAACTTACTTAACACTTTTCTGGCATCTGTTGATAATCGTAAGATGGCTTCACTGAACGGAATGACAATATTTTCAAACTGTTCACCATTTTGATAAACAGAACATTCTGGAAGAAGTAAATAGACTCTGAGGGCTTCAATGTCTGGAGGTGGTTGAAGGAGGGAGTGAATGACACCATGTGTAAAGGCAGCAAACAACTGTGGAACAACAAAACAACAATGTTATAGAAAATGTTGCTGTTCATCAGGGTTTTGTGGAGACATCTAATCTACCATAAACATTTAACCCTTAAACCCCAGAAGTGATCAAATGAAACTTCTCCCAATAATATCCTACATTATCCCGTAAACAGCTAAAGAGAATATTCAAACTTATCAAGTGGAGGTTGTTGTCTTGATCTAACACCAAATTCTCAATCCTCATTCACAAAGATATGTGTAGCAGCTAGAGGGGAGAATTATCAATCAGATCTTGGGAGTTTAGGGGTTAATTATATGTCTCACAATGCAGTCAGGCCATCAATTTTATTGATCGTGACCTTTTGCCTGCTATACTGCCAGTCATTAGGCAATGAGGTTGAAAGTTTACATGTTGATATTAAGAGCACCTTGGTCTGCTGCTATTTGTGTGTTTTGGGAACAACATTTTGTACTCAGATTAATAATAAGGATCAAAATACACCAATGACAGCACACTCAATTTATCAGAAATACTGTTTATAAGCTAGTTTAAGTTGGTCATTCTCTGAGGCTTCACTCTAAAACCAAGACTACTCCAAGCATGGAAAAATGATAATGGTATCCTTAAAGTTACACAAATTTACCTTTGTAACAATTGCCTTGTGCTTCATTCCATTGAGCAGATCAAAGGAGCGTCTTGCAGATTGTAGATGAATGCCATGGATTTTAGAGCTTGTTTGTTCATGGTTTCGTCTGAAAATACAGAAAGAAAAATACAAAGTTCTATGTATTATGCATTTTGCACTCTGATTAAGGTCAGCAGAGTTTCTATAAATTTTTAAGTTACTTTAAGAAGTAGTCTTCATAAACTGTATAAATTTTGTTTTCATCATAGAAAAGTAGATACATCATGATATTACGACACTGATTCTGGACAAATGGACTAACCAACAAGTGTGTGCCACAGACCAGTGTGCGTATTTCTCACACATTTGGGATGAAAATTATTGGTGCACATGAAAGACATTTAGGAATTATATTACATTGTAAAAATTAATCTCTCATTAAAGCTACTTCATGAACAGGATTGATTCATTCACTTGTTGACTAAAGTGGATACAAGGCATAATTATAACATACAAATAATTGCACAAGAGTGCACTGTACATGTATTTCTGGAAGAGACAATGAATGAAATTTTCACCATCATGTTTCACGTTCACCAACTGCCAAACTGATGAATGATTAAAAACATTGTGATGCCTTCATAAGCTACTTTCAGCCCTACAAGCTTGGGCACCGACCTAAATACTGATTGTGTAATATAAACTACAAAAAAACTCACAAATTAAAGAAAATTTAAACAGATTTAGGTGCCTTACCTATCCAAAAATGATCCATTCAAACATGAATAGGATGAGAAAGTTGTCTCTAATTTACTGTTATGAAAAGAAGAAACAGTTCATAGTTATTACTAAGCAATATCTCAAGTAAGGAAACAACCCCACACAGTATTTCATGGGTACTACTTCCTTCCTTTCTTTCCCAATTTAGCAAAAAGGGATTTTTATTCCATAAAATCAAATTCCTAAATCATTTCATTTAGTCACCAAACTCAAACCTTCAAAGCAAATTGAAAAAGGACTCAGTTATCCAGAGTTGAAAATAAATGACTGGAAATAAGGAAGAATTGAGATAACTGTTTTGCACTCCAGACATACAATCTACTTTATACTGTATGTCTTGGGTAGAAAACAGTAAGTCAAGGATCTATTCCAATGTTATAAGTCGGAGAGTAAAGAGAAGTCAATTGATATATTTAGGTGTGGAACATCAGGTTTCTAAATTACTGTAGTTATAAATCACAACACAGCACAACATGAAACAAAACAAAGCAAAACAGCAAGGAAGGTCCAAGTAATGTAACCTTTGCAGGTTTCAAAGAAAATAAATCTTTCAACAGAGTTCAAGCAATTCACATTTTTTAAAGTAATAATAGCCATGGCTTCAGACTACAATAAACTGTTTCTTTGAGGAAAAAATTCTGAGGAGAAAATGGTCTGAAGTGGAAGGGAAATTATAATTTCTTTGAAGCTCAAGAGAGGTTCAAGTTATCAAGGATTTCAGTTGTTAAGGAAGAATTTATAATAATTGTAAATGTACAGTTTACAACATAAATCTAAGGGAAATCAAATTTGACTGAAGTAATCAAAAGGTTGGAAGGAGTGAGGGATCTAGTTATTACTACCCTATCCACCAGATAGCATTTTTTTCCAGTGGATAGTGTTATTGAACAACCAGGGCCTATAGTTCATAATGACTCACTGAAAAATCTCGGTTGAAGGATTGGGAAGTGACAACTGTTGAACCAACTCCAGTACACTAGACTCTGTAAATGTCCACAGGTGTTTAGATCGGTCTTGAACCCGGAAATCACAAGGACTGCGGTCGTCCTGATTCTGAACAAAAAATGTTAATTAAAAGTAAAATATACATGACAGTATGAATTGAATAATAATTCAAGCTCTGCACTCAATAAGCTCACTTCACTTTGCCTCTAGAAACTCTTACACTTCTCTTGTTCTCTTGCTAACCATGAACCAATTGCAAAGTACACTGTGACTGACCTTTGTTGAACCACACCCAAAGTACCACTTGCAGAAAGTTACCTGTATTATGCATGTAGCCACTTACCTTTTTTGATACAAGAATATAGCAGTGGTCACCACCTGCAGCTATTCTATGGACAACATAGTGATTCTCAGGTTTAACTTTCACCCAACTGTTGTGAACAGCAACAGGGCTATTGATATTCGTGACTTTGTTATTGCCCAGTTGGCCATTCTCTCCAGAACCAAATGAGAACAGCTTTCCTGATGATGCAACATAAGCCAGTGTGTGAAACCTGCATCAAAGTAAATTTTATGTCACTCTAAGAAACAAGAAAATGATTCAAAACTTCCTTCCAAGAATGAAATCATTTTCTGAGCATAAACTATCAATCGAAAATAAATTACCAAAAGTTACTCCAATGTAACAAATAATCATACCTTCCACAGGCAACTTGTGTCACCACTTGTCCCATTAGTTCAAACACCTAATAAAAGTATATGTTTAGTAACTCATTTTTTCAAATAAATTATTCAGAATGGAATTAATTTGCTAAGAAAAGAAAACCCATGATTTAGATGTTTTGTTTTACATCACAATTGAATGCCAATAATGAAGTTCAAGAGTAGCTCTAACATAATCAGTTACATGTGTGTATGATCATGCAGAAGGCTCTTTCAGAGATGAAGTTCAAATGCCTGCCTCATCTTCCATCACCTCTCTATCTCAGGAAGTGAAAACCATTTTTAGTGACCATCTGCTTTCAGGCTTGCAGAGACTACACCTATCTTTTAAGAAATATTTTTTCAGTAAAAAGTTCAAGTACCTTTTTAGGATTACATTCATCACTATTAGAGTTATGTCCAAGTTGACCAAAATTGCCCCAACCAAATGTAAACACCCCTCCATCCTGCAATGTATAAGAAAACATATTACACAGAGCTATAAAATATCAACTGTTTAAAAAATCATGTCAAACACATAATCATAAGACTACAGTGCAATTCTACTGCAACAAATAATTTTAAAAAATTTAGTATTTAAGTTCTACTATGGCTCCCCTCTGATAAGGTCTACATGTATTTTGCTGGTTCCTAGTTAAGTTCTTGGGCTTCACTAAGTGAGAAGAATTTCTTCTCCTGTCGGATAGTAACCCAATCCAATATTTGATGAGGGTAGCCAATGAGCTTTACTTCAGGTTTCCCTGACAGTCTGCCAGCACTTACTTTTCACTAAATAGTTTAAAAACTCCTCTCTCTCCTGGGTGGAGATGGGCACTGTGAAATACCCACTCAAAGTTATACTCTAGGAACCACCAGATGCCTGGAGATATCAGTCTTACAAATCTTAATTGCTTAATTGCTTCTTAAAGGTCCTTGTAACTTAAATGGGTCCACAAAGCTGTTCTGTTTTCATTCAAAATGGGGGTTTCAAAAGTTTTGAAAATTATGTGATAACAGTATTAGCTAAAGGAACAAATTAAGATGCCAGAACCTGTTTCTCTATTCTTTACATTTTGATTTTAAAAACTGGCTTCAGTCTGTTAAGTTACCAAGCCTTTCAAGAAACGGATACACAACTCTCAAAGTTACATTAAAGTTATAAAAAAAAGGGTTAAAATTAGTCACCAGTGGCACCCAGGAACTACTTGAGCACAGCCCTTAGAATACAGTAGGATATTCCATAGCTTAAACCTTTAACCCCTAAGGGTAACTATCATCTAATTCCTCCATACAATCCATACAATATCACCCTTGAATAACACATAAAGGTTACAAGAATAAAAGAAATGATCACTATCTGAGGAAATTCTTAATTGTTGGACAAATTCTCCTTCTCAGCATCTTAATAAATGTACTGAGAACAATATGGAGAATATGCATACTGACCTTAGGGTGTAAAGGGTTAAATCTGGACCATAAGATCCACAAAGGGTTCCATACAGTTAACAGAGGGTCACAGGGATCCCCTGTGATAGCACTACATGAGCACATGTTGCCTTAGCTTCAAAGCAGCCAACCAAAGAATTAGCTTATACACTCTACCTCTGTCAAGGCAGCTGTATGATACTCTCCTGCTGTGACATAGCGCACCCTTTGTGATCTTAAGGACTTCACAAGTACAGGCATAGAATGATCTAAAAGAAGTTTGCCAAGTTTCAAAATAAATTGCAAGCCTAAATTGCTTGATTGTTTTACTTTTTTAAAATAGTTTTCTAATTTCCTAATAAATATTTGGCCTTAAAGTATCAAACAACTTTTACTTAATACTGTAATGTAGTATCTAAATCATTTTTAATTGCATTCAACTGTGAACATTTTTTAACCAACGAGCACATTGTATCAATTGTAAGATTTAACCCTTTTACTCCTAACACTGACTAGTATCAAATTTCTCACTACAATATCACCCCTGAATCAAACTTGAAGGGCACAAGAATAAAGGAGGTGATAACCAGCTAAAGGAGTCCTTCACTGTTAAACAAATTCTCTTTGTCAGCATGTTAGGAAATGTATAGAGAACAGTGTGGAGAATATGCATACTGATTTTAGGGCATAAATAGTTAACATCAAATGAATGAGAGATAGCAGGGAAAAATGGAGAACTACACACACCTTTGTTGTCATTTATTCCCAGTTGGCCAAAGCTAAAAAGAGAAAAAATGGGCATGTTATAAACAAGTTTCCCTTGATCATCAATAAAGGGAAAAATTGTGGAACTTTACTAACTTGTTTCTCCCCCAGCTAAAGAGTGCTCCAGAGAGTGACAAGGCAAAGCTGTGATATCCACCGGCACAGATCAAAGCAAAGGGAACCCCACACAAAGAAGACACATGTTCAGGTACATTGTGCACTGGACTTGAATTACCAATTCCTAGCTGTCCGTGTTTGTTATCACCCCAAGAAAACAAGAATCCACCTACATAACAAAAGAACAATTATTTAACCATTTCACGCCCAAGAGTCACTGACATGGATTTTTTTCCTTGCAATATTCATACATGTTCAAGCAGAAAGGTTGTGAGAGGAAAGAATAATAACAATGAGGGAATATTATAGTAACACTGTACTTGATTTAACATCGAATTCTTAGGACTAGAATCATACACAACATATCAAATCACTAAGGAAAATACATTTTGCAACAATTGTGGAAGAACAGTGGTTCTGACCCACTAACAACATGACTTGCACTCAATGTGTACCCACACTTGTACCTGAACTCAAAATCTATGATCGAGTGACTCCACTGAAAAACTCAGTTTCTAAAATACACATTTTCATGTAAAAAAGCACTAATCAATATGAAGTTAAAAAAAGTTGTTCCAAATTAATTAAAAAAAAGGATGTTTTAGGATTGGTATGTCTAAAACTTCTATCTTAAAACAAAAATGGAGAATTGTTGGCAAAAATTGAGCTTATGGTGCACTGTTATTTTCTTTTATGACTAATATCATTTTGTTAAATTACTGGACACTGACAAAAAGAAACCATGTGAGGACAGCTTTGAATTTAGTGTTTACCTGTACTGAGTGCTAAAGAATGCCTTGCTCCACAAGCAACTTGTGATACCATCACACCATCAGACTGGAGACTTCTAACAATTCTAAACAAGTAAAAGACCATGAACAAATTTAAATCAAGCAATGCTAAAGAATAAACTCTGCACAGGTGTGTTACAGTTGTCAAGAATATTGAGACTGACAACTGGACTCCAGGCACGGGGTCCATATTTGTCACATGGCCAGGTCAATGTGTTACATTCTTGAACAAAAAAACTATCCTCTCACAGTGCCACTCTCTACCAAGGAGCATAAATGGGTACCAGTGAAATTGTCAGGGAAGCCTGATCAAATGCTGGGTTGTAATCTTGTGATGGACCAGCCATCCATTCAGGAATAGGGGGAATAGTCATACTCCTAGTCACTTCATGTATATTAAGAAAACCAGCATAAGCTCTGGCTGGATGGACGACTTGGCTTCTGGTACAGACTTAATCACCCAAAATTTATAACGAGACTGAGAGGACATACAGCATGCTTCACACATCTTAAGAACTACACACCTACAATTGTTATGATATCATAATTTATCACGATTTTTAAGAAAATACAATGAAAAATCATAGAAAAAGTATATTGTATCTATATCACAAAAAATACTCAACACCCACGATGTTTTAATAGCAAGTTCCGACTAATAATTTAGGACGGGGGAGGGGGGTGTTAGCATATGACTAATAATATAGGACCGGGGGGGGGGGTGTTAGCATATGACTAATAATTTAGGATGGGGGAGGGGGGGGTGTTAGCATATGAACAGAATGCAGAATCAGGTCATCCTGTAGGAAAAATTAGGGAGGAGGGGGGGTACGTCTTGAGGCCACGTGGCCCACAATGCAACTAAGAGTTTGACTTGACGACTTGCCTCCACAAGGCACAGAGGACAAAACAAAATGGGTTGACTAGGGAATCCAGAGGGCTGACTTCTATTTCCTTTCATATCCCACTTTGTTCTGACTTACTCTGTCCATTGTTCCTCAATGAAATCAGTTGTGGATTATGTTCATGGTATACCCTGAAGCATTATAATGGGAATTAAAAATAATAATAACTAACTTTGGATGGCTTTGGACATTGTTCTCTGTGTTTCCTAGACCCAGTTGTCCCTTAGTGTTGTCACCCCATGCAAGCACAAGTCCACTATCTGTGACAGCCAGGGTGTGCATTTGTCCACAAACCACTTGCTTGACTGTGCGTGTTTCAAGTGCATCTACACGAGCTGCAAAATAGTCACCACATATATACCAGCATTAAAGGTAAGATACCAAAATCATAAAAAATATGTTTGAATTGTGGACTATAGATTTTAACAGAAGAAACATTGTTGCTATCACATCCAAATCAACCATGCCACTATAAAATAACAAGGCAGCAGCTATAAAAAATTAAAATAAGTATTTTTCCTTTGTCCCATACTCATGACAAGAAGAAAAACATCTTTCTCTATTTCTTTATCAAAATCAAAACTTACCATCTTTCTTATTCTATTTACAGACATGACACTACTGACATCGCTAATCCTTGCAGCATGCAGAACACATGTCATATGAACTCCCCAGTAGACCTTACTTACCATAGAGTCTCTGTGGCTCAGTGGTGGTGTATCAAAGCACAGAACCCATAGGTCTGAGGTTTGATTCAGAATTTTATCTTTGTCCCACACTCGTGACAAGACAAAAAACATCTTTCTCCAACTACATTAATTTTTTTATCCATGTGTCACATAACATATTGTGCTTCTTGAGATGACAAGGAACTAGTTTTTAACATTTATTATGTTGATCTTTTTGTAGGACTGTATATTCAACAAATAGATTCCATGTTACTGTGTGTCTGTTCAATACTAGATCACAACTGACATCAGAATGTGTTAAGAACACAAAAGTGACACAGGAGCCTCACACATGTTCTTACCACATTTTGACCTCTTTTGTGGTGATTCAAGAAGCAAAACATTATTGATGGTGATGTTATCTACATCTCTGTCCCTCAATACATCAGAAGTAAGAACCAATCAAGCAAAAAGCATACATAATACAGCTTATCATATAGACATGACTGTGCTTTTGTAACTCATTGACACCCAAGATCTAACAGTAAGTTCTCCACACCACCTGTGATACATTTCCTACAATTTTGGCTCTAAGAATTTGGTGTTAAACCACAATATATTCTCTAGTTGATAGTTTACATTCTTGTCATCAACTGCTTTCTTGAAAATGCTTTGATACTGTAAAGGGGAAATCGCTTTTGTTAATCTTGGGAGTGAAAGGCTTAACTATTCCCATAATGTAATCTGTCTTAATTGTTAACATCCCTTTTAGCTCAATCAAAATTCAATCGAAACAAAAATTTTGCTACAAAAGATGAAAATAGCTATGATAGACATTTAACTAGAATATGCGATTTCACTCGGCATATCAATTAAAAATAATAAACTAGCTTTGGAGTAAACATGTAAACAGCAACACCAAAGCGATCGACGTCAACTAGTGATGATCAATAGACTGATTTACCCACCGAACTTTTTTCCATCTTTATTATGCCCAAGTTGTCCATTTTCATTACTTCCACACGTATAGACAACACCGTCCTTTTTCAAGACCGCTGTATGCTCCCAGCCACACACAATGTCTTTAATTTCGGACTCAGTTCCGAAAGTGCTTTCAAGATTCCTTGGAGACAGGATATTTTCGTCCTCAATCTCTCCCAACCCAAGCTGGCCTTCGGAGCATCTACCCCAACAAAACATGGCTATACCATTTTCACTGATACTTCGCTTTCTTTCCTGTACATTGTTGTCCGCATTTGTCTAGAAGTGGCATATTGAAAATGTTAGGGCTCAGACAAATGTTGATGTCATAGTTCCGCCATTATGCGCTAACAGGAATTGGTACCCAGTAATCGCGCGGTCAATGTTCACGATGGGTACAGTGGATAGAGGGAGGAGTGGGGGTGACGAACCCAAGCAAACAATTTGGTATCATCAACTGAGTAACAGTTGATAACGTGACTTGGCCACCGTTGGGAGTTTTAAAATTGAGGTTTCGAGCGTGAACACTACTTAAGCAGTCGTAAAAATAAGGCCTGAAAAAATTCTGTGGTGCGTTTCGACTTCATATGAAATGTCGTCGCCCAGTGACCTGTCAGTGGGTGAGGTTACAGGGTCCGCGAGGGCGTTTCTGATATACCCCTCCACTGACATGTATGTTCCTTATGGGCCCTTCAGTCGTATGAGTTGAACTAATTTCCTTTTAGTATTTTAGGAGTTGGTGAGTGCTTCGTTAAGTTAAGATTTCATTGTTATATACCCGAATTTGATTCAACATATTGGAATCGATTGATTCAGTTTCTGTCTTATGTGTTAACCCCTCAATCCCTAAAAGTGACCAACATCGAAAAAATTCTCCTTATAGTATCACTTGAGTCAAACATTAAGGATATAAGAATGAAGGAAATGATCCTCAACAGAAGAAGCTCGTGATTGACCACCAAATTCTCCCTGTTGGTACCATAAGGAAAGGGTAAGGTAATATTATGGAAAATTAGTATATCGATGCTAGGTCGTAAAGGGTTGTTGGAACAGGGGCTTCGGTTGCAGTAGATTCAAAGTAACTGTGACGTTCACAACTGGTAAAATAAAGCGTCCTGGGATTTCCCTTCCTTTGGATTTCCTCACAAACCGCAAGAAAGGAACAAAAACCAAACAGGATAGGCACTGTTAAATGGTCTGTATATTTATAAAACTCTTTAAGCGCCATATTACAGACAGCACAGAGATATTAACATTAAATGCAAGCCTTGTTCCCCGGCCCCAGTTTCATTTAACTCCAACAAAGACCGGGGAGCGAGGATGCTCCAACCATGGGGAGTAATCAGAAATATAACAAATTCTTAAGGAAATGATGAAAGTTACATCTCAAGACACTTGCCGACTCTTATATATGTGTTCTACAAACGTAACCCCTAAACCCAGAGTACGGTTCCAATTCTATTTTGTTCAAAATATCATTAAAACTTGAGTAATCAGGTAATTATGTATGTTAAATTTCTCCCAACTTTACCTTGAACAAATGCACAAGGGAAAGAAAGGAGAATTATAAATTGTATCCAGGCTTTAAGGTAGCTCTTTATACTGTACAAAGATCCAAAATACTTATCTACATTGATTTAAGACTTAATGATAAGTTGTTTTTATTTTCTACTCAAGAATAAGGCCACAGATCTCAATATCAAAATTTGAATCAGGTGAAGTATGCTTGCTACTTTAGCTACCTTGGAAGGTCTTGCCATGCCTCCTAAACGCACTGCGTTACCACACGAAGCAGGTTTGAGGAATGTTTGAGCACGATTTCCCGTCAACGGGATGCTTTTTTGTGACAGGAACAAGTACAAATAGATGACAAGTATTTATATCGATAACAACTTGAATGCGGAAACTTGAGGACAAACATCTCCAAAATCTAACACCGCTATCATTAATAAGCAAACGTGTCAAACAGAGTTGAGCAATGAAATATCGTAACCGTAAGACAGTTTGTAAATTGTAAGTTTTTTAAATTTTCTGTAGTCTGTAATATTTCAAGAGCTGTTTGAACACGATTCCTTTAAAAACAAGCACGAGTTTGAAGTGTTTGAGCTTTCAGATTCGCTCAAGAAAACAGATGATAGTGACCTTTTTCTGAGGAAATCACTTGAGTGCCAAACAGGACTTTCACTTCACATACTCACTCCATGTTTAAAATAAAAAATACATTCTATAAATCGATATCACATTTGGATTAGGAAATGAAAGTTCACGATAGAAATTTAGCAGGTAAAATGCGCAAAAACGGAGATTTAAAATAGAATTAAAATAACAAAATTCAGGCGGAGCGCTCGCTCGGCGACAAACTTCCTTCTTCATTTATCTAAAAAAATCTATCTTCTCTAACTAAAACATTTACAGGTAAAATAAAACAAAATTATCCGAATCCCGACTTTTAAAACCTTGATAGACGATAAGAACTCGCTAGGTCCGATAAAACTCCCAAACTCTTTGATAATTTTCTTTGTCTGATCCCTTGTAACTGAAAAAAGGATAACTTCTTGGTAATTCACTTTGGTTTCTTTTCAATTTGAAAAGAAATCTTAAGTTACTCCTTAAAAATTCCACGATTTAAAATAGAAGCTATATGTTACAAGTAAATTTCGTTGTAAACTAAACTTACTAACATAAAAGTAAGTACTTAAAAATAATTAAAATGTTCAGATTCGCGAGTCTTTTGGTTCTCCAACAATCATCTCACATGTCCTCGACGGAAACAGACCCGTCCCAGGGCTCCTTTTCATTCTGCATATCTCATTCCAGTCTCTAGTTCATTAAGAACCTGAATGAGAATTTCCAGTCACATGATTAATACTTCTCTGTGTAAATTGTACACTGCATTATGTTGATTTTGTTGATGAGCCGCTGGACCTCCGCCCCAGACCTCCAGAGCTACTGTCGTGAAATTCATTATCACTGGCTTTCCTTTCCGCATCCGGGGAATTGATCGCGAGGGTCTCGAGCGAAGAGGCGGACATTGCCTTCACCTGGGCAATAACGACTTGCGCTTTCATAGCGTCTTCTTCGAGTTCGCGCATGCGCTGTTGTCTCATGGCTGCGCGCTTCTCTGCCTCTAGCGCACGTCTTTCGGCCGCGGTCAAGGTGCGTTTTGGCGACTGCGGAGAGGACGCGTTTATGTCGCTGTTTTGAAGTTTGTGATCGATGTTCATCTTTTCAGCTACCTCAGCGTCTCTATTGGCATGTTCCAATCCTTAGGAAATCAAAAGACACAACGATTTGTCAAGGCGGGATTACTTGTCTTAAAACAAACGCGTGAAGATAAACTCACAAGTGATTGCAATGTTATGAAATCAACTGATATAGGCTCTAATTCAAGATGTAACAAGGATTAAAGAGGTTGTGCAATATCTAAGTAGCATTCAAAGGAAACACACTCAGATCCTTGGAAAAATGATTCTTTTCTACAAGGAAATATTATTTACCTGTAACAGCTCTGTTTTGACCCTGAAACAAGGGAAAAACACGAGGGTTAAAAATAAAAAATGTGTAAACAGCCTCTTACAGTTTTATTGTTGTGCTCCTGAAGTAGCGGAATTATTAGACTAGAAACAGACAATGGCCTATTGTGACGTTACTATACGTGGGTAAAGTAGCCTCTGTGATTTTTTTTTCTTTTTTGGGTTTCGCGCGAAACTTTAAAATAATTGCAACACCCAAAATCAGACATGTTTCGTAACAGGGATAAAGCCTGCAAACCACATCTCAACCATATCTTAACCTTGTGCCCTATGATTGTTTGGAGCCGTTGAAGCAAATCATTGGCAAAGAAGTTACGCAAACCGCAGTGCTTCTTCCCACGGTAATTACTTCGGTGTGTTTCGAACCATAAACTCTTTATTATACTCTTTCAAACCATTAGGAAAGTGCTGAAGCCACTTCATTTATTTTATTATTCATTTTTTTTTCCATTTGTCAAGTCTATTTCTTGATTTATGCTTGGCGAGCTAACTTTTCAAGGTCAAATTAAGGGCAACAACCGTTTTGTAAATAAATGCCAAGGATAACGGTTGCGAAATAGTTAGGAAACCATTGGCCAATAATAGTACAGCATAATCTGATGTGATACTCTAACATTCTTGAAAACGTGTGTGATTTTCTTTAACTTAGATACAAGTTACTACTTCGTACGGCCGGATAGTGACAACTAGAAATTTTTTATGCGACGTTCAATAAAGGTGTATAGAGCGGATCAGAACAGGAAAAAATATATCTTACAAGTTTCTCTTCACCGGCTCCTTTGCTTTCTTCAAGACGTTTACGAAGAGCTTCCTGGAAAACAACAGAAGCAATGTTACCAACTAACCAACGGTCATGAAAACAGAAATACTACCAAACATCTCCATGAAAACAGAGAAATAGGTTTTTGTCACGTAAGCTAACTACAAAATATCACATATTTCACTTGAATAAATTGCGTTCTGCAACACTTGTTCGATATTTCAGAGATAAAAGTTGAGTACTCTTCGTTAATTTTTCATCTTAACATGATAATTAATATAAGAATGTCGTCATGCAATTCACAGTTAAACACAACTGCTGTGTAAATAAACAAAGTACAGTGATATCAACATGAATACGAAAACTTCTATTTGGATACTTCAAGTTCAGTTGAAAGCGAAAGATGACTAAAGACGAGGAAAACGAAATATTTTGTGAACATAGAAAGTCCCATTACTGAGAAACGTGATTTAATAGTGTTCATTTTCAGTATTCAAACTTGACTCCCTACTTGTTAGATACGTCACATGTACGAGAAAATCATCTTAGCCCTTAATGTTGAAAACCTCATTTGTCATCGTAAAATATATTGTTCGTTAATGATCAAATTCGTTTGATCTTCGCAAAAAACAATACAAAATGTTACGACAATTTAAGGGAATTTTGAATAAATCAGGAGTATTCACGAAGAGAAAGTAAAAGCAATGTTCAAATATATAACACAAGGAACCTTTAAACGTCGATGTAGAAAAATAGGGAGCAATGAGTATCACAGTCTTAGACAATCACAGAAGTGCGAATGGACAAAATTTGGCGAGAAATGAAATAAATTAACGCTACTGACAAAATTGTATGCACACAGACGATCGAACAAAACATGAATATAAATTTTGCAGTTTCACGGTTCTTGTCACGCAAAACACACCAATCAATGACACACTCCTAAACCAGAATACAAACTTTGTGAAATCAACTATCCGAACGTGTTTGGAATCATCCCACGTTCTCACAATATTACAATCTCTTTATAATTATCTGCTGCAGCCAG